GGACTGGTAAAGGAGCCTCCAACCCTGAATTAGCACAACTGATGGACTTGCAAGACAAGGGAAGCTGGATCCTCGTCTCTGCTCGGAGCAGAAGAAGGGATCTCCCCCTTGCCCCTGAAGTGCCCCTACGCAATAGATATGATGCTCTGGAGCTCAGAAAAGGAGAGGATAATAAAAACAACAATGGTAATGGTCAAGCCCCAGGAAAGGGCAACAGTATAAACGTGGACCAGCAAACCAAGTGTATAAGAACCAGTGCCACAAAAAAAGCACGAAGGGTGTTGGTAATCGGAGATTCCTCTCTGAGAGGCACTGAAGCGCCCATTTACTGCCCAGGCAATCTCTCTCGAGAGGTTTGCTGCCTGCCTGGGGCCTGCATCCGCGACATCACAAAGAGGCTACCAAGCTTGGTGAAGCCACATGACTATCACCCATTCCTACTCTTTCATGTAGGGACAAATGAGGTCGCAATAAGGAAACTACAAAACATCAAAAGGGACTTTATGTCCCTTGGAGAGATGTTGAAGGGCTCGGGAGTGCAAGTAGTGTTCTCAGTCCTCCCAGTTGTTGGCTGGGACCCAAGGAGGAGGCAACATGAATGATTGGCTATGTAGCTGGTGCCATGCTCAGGGTTTTGGGTTCTACGATCTCAGACATTTTTCTGAGAGACCAGGAATGCTGACACCAGATGGAGCATGCCTGACGAAGTGGGGCAAGAGCGTCCTGGGCAGCAAGCTGGCTAGACTCATTAGTAGGGCTTTAAACTAGACTTGGTTGGTGAAGGGGATGTACCTGTAAGAGACGCAAAAGAACCAGTGGATGCCAATACACTAGAAAACAACGGGGAGACACCTGTGAATCGTCCCATAGGAATTGGGAATGGCTCCTCTAAAAAGGTAATGCAGCCCATAGCCCGGCTGAAGTGCCTCTACACCAATGCACGCAGCATGGGGAATAAGCAGGAGGAGTTGGAAGCCATGGTGCAATTAGAAAACTGTTATCTAATTGCTATCACAGAAGCAATTTGGTGGGACAAATCACACAACTGGAACACTGGAATGGAGGGCTACAAGCTTTACAGGAGAGAGAGGCAGGGAAGGAAGGGTGGGGGTGTTGCCCTCTATGTTAAGAAGTGGATAGATTGTGAAGAGTTGCCGCTAAGAAACAGCCATGAGCAGGTTGAGAGCCTGTGGGTAAAAATTAAGCATCAGACCAATAAAGGGCACCTTGTGGTTGGGGTCTGCTACAGGCCGCCCGATCAAGGGGAGCCTTTTGATGAAGCCTTCTTGCTCCAACTACAAGAAGCACCGTGCTCACGGGCTCTCATCCTGATGGGGGATTTAAATCACCCAGATGTCTGCTGGGAAAGCTACACGGCAGGCAGTAAGCAATCCAGGAGACTCCTGGAGTGCGTTGAGGACAACTTCCTCGTCCAGGTGTTAGACAAACCAACCAGAAGAGAAGCATTTCTGGACCTGGTGCTCACCAGTGTGGATGACCTCATTAAAGAGGTTAAGATTGGAGGCAGTCTGGGTTGCAGTGACCACGGCCTGGTTGAGTTTGTGATCTCGAGGGATGTGGGCCTGGCTAAGAGCAAAGTAAGGACCCTCGACCTCAGAAGAGCAAACTTACGGTTACTCAAAGAATTAGTGGAAGAGATCCTGTGGGATACTGTCCTTAGGGAAAGAGGATCTGATCAGATCTGGCAACTCTTTAAGGATATTTTTCTTAGCGTGCAAGAGCTCTCCATCCCCATGTGCAATAAATCAAGCAGGGAAGGCAGGAAACCAGTATGGCTGAGCAATGACCTTCTGGTCAAACTTAGGCAAAAGAAGGAACTGCACAGGCAGTGGAAACGGGGCCGTGTGCTCTGGGAAGAGTACAGAAACGCTGTCTGGACGTGCAGGGATGGGATCAGGAAAGCCAAAGCACTGACAGAGCTAAACTTGGCAAGGGATGCAAAAAATAACAAGAAGGGATTCTACAAGTACATTGGCCAGAAAAGAAAGACTAAGGAGAGCGTACCCCCTCTGAAAAATGTAGATGGAGGACTGGTAACAACAGACATGGAGAAGGCTGAAGTACGTAACAACTTCTTTGCCTCAGTCTTCACTGGCCATCAGGCTTCCCACATCTCTTGAGTCTCCGAACCTCTAGGCGGGGACTGGGGGAGCAGAGTCCCTCTCACTGTAAGCGAAGAGCGGGTTCGGGACCTCTTGATGCAACTCAACAGCTACAAGTCCATGGGGCCTGATGACATCCATCCCAGGGTTCTGAGGGAATTGGCTGATGTAGCTGCCAAGCCACTCTCCATCATATTTGAAAAGTCATGTCAGTCAGGTGAAGTCCTCCGTGACTGGAAAAAGGGAAACATCACTCCCATTTTTAAAAAGGGTAGAAAGGAAGACCCGGAGAACTACAGACCGGTGAGCCTCACCTCTGTGACTGGCAAGATCATGGAACAGATCCTCCTGGAAGCAACGTTAAGGCACATGCAAGACCAGGAGGTGATCCGAGACAGCCAGCACGGCTTCACCAAGGGCAAATCATGCCTGACCAATCTGGTGGCCTTCTATGATGGAGTGACAGCATCAGTTGGCAAAGGAAGACCGACATGTCATTTACTTGGCCTTCTGTAAGGCTTTTGACACGGTCCCACATGACATCCTGATTTCTAAATGAATGAGAGATGGATTTGAAGGGTGGACCATTTGGTGGATAAGGAATTGGCTTGATGGCTGCACCCAGAGAGTAGTGGTCAATGGCTCTATGTCCAGGTAGAGGCCAGTGACAAGCGATGTCCCTCAGGGGTCTGTCTTGGGACTGATGCTTTTCAATATCTTCATCAATGACCTAGATGATGGGATTGAGTGCACCCTCAGCAAGTTTGCAGATGACACCAAGCTGAGTGGTGCAGTTGATACAACAGAAGGAAGAGATGCCATCCAAAGGGACCTGGATAAGCTTGAGAAGTGGGCCCACGTGAACCAAATGAGGTTCAACAAGTCCAAGTGCAGGGTGCTGCACCTGGGACAGGGCAATCCCAGGCATGAGTACAGACTGGGAGAAGAACCTATTGAGAGCAACCTTATGGAGAGGGATTTGGGGGTTCTGGTAGATGAGAAGCTCGACGTGAGCCAGCAGTGTGTGCTTGCAGCCCAGAAGGCCAAACGTATCCTGGGCTGCATCAAGAGAGGTGTGGCCAGCAGGTCAAGGGAGGTGATTGTCCCTATCTACTCTGCCCTCGTGAGGCCCCACCTGGAGTACTGCGTCCAGGTCTGGGGCCCCCAGTACAAGAAAGATGTGGACCTGTTAGAACGGGTCCAGAGGAGGGTCACAAAGATGATCAGAGGGCTGGAGCACCTCTCCTATGAAGAAAGACTGAGAGAGCTGGAGATGTTCAGCCTGGAGAAGAGAAGGCTCCAGGGAGACCTCGTTGCGGCCTTTCAATACTTAAAGGGTTCTTATAAAAAAGGATGGAGAGGGACTCTTTACTTGTGTAGATAATGATGGGACAAGGGGGAATGGTTTTAAACTGAAAGAGGGGAGATTTAGATTGGATGTTAGGAAGAAGTTCTTTACTCAGAGGGTGGTGAGACACTGGAACAGGTTGCCCAGAGAAGTTGTGGATGCCCCATCCCTGGAGGTGTTCAAGACCAGGCTGGATGGGGCCCTGGCAAACCTGATCTAGTGGTATAGTATTTTCTCTCAGATTTTTTATTTCAGTTGTTGATTGATTTTTTTTGTTTGTTTTGGTTTTGTTTTCAATTGGGAGGTGTTTTTTTTTTCAGTCTTGTAGTTTTCTATGTCATTGCTTTCATTGGACCTTTATGGATTTTTATGGTCTTTACTTTAGAGGTATGTGTTTCTAGCTAGCAATATATTTTTATTACATTCTCATTGTTTAAAAACAGTGACACATCCCTGTTTGGTAGTTTGGGATATTTTATGCAATGCTTTTTTTTTTTTTTTTTTTTTTGGTAACAATACTTTTCATCCATTTATGTCTCCAACGTAGCCTTAGCATTTTATTTCAAACTACAGTTCTGTTGACAGTGTTGTTGTAGCGCGTAACACATAATAATGTCTAATAGAAGACTCCACAACAATCCTGGCAATCAAACATATCTTTGAAAACTGTTCTACTGCAATACCAGTGTGTACAGAGCTTACTGCAGTTTCTGTTACAGTAGGTCTGCATGCATCTCTGTGCCCAGCCCTACTTTGTGTTGCTTTTGTACTCTGCCTGTATTGTACCAGCCTTATTCCCAGAGATAGGATGATATTGTCTTCTCTATTTGGTAGTCCTTTTCCATTTCCCAGCAAAATGTAGGTTCATAAACTGGTATCTGAATCCTGTGGGGCTGCTTTATTGTGTTGGTTGGGGGGAGAGGACATGGACACGTTGAATTGTGTGTATCCTTAGGAAGAAGGTGAGGATAAAAAGTTCCCAGTCACCTTGCTTACCTTGTAGTTCACTTCTCATATCACTGGAAATTCCCAGTCCTCTAGTAAATTTAGAGTGATTGTGGACAGAGGTTAATATGGAAAGCAGAACTCCTACTGACCCTTTGTTTGGGGAGGAGAAAAAAGTAATCATGTAGTATGGTAGGAAAATGCTGTCTTTTTACTTCTGTCTTTGTTTACTATTTGTCTTTAAATTAAAGGGGAATTAAGAATAAGGCTGTTCAGTTATGAGGTGCTAGGACTGGAATTTGAATCATAAAATCGATATTTTTGTCAATTGTAAATTAATATATTGGTTAAAATCTCCTTTAAAATAGAAATCTCTCTCCTCCATGTGATTTAGCACTTGAGAGAACTCAGGTATACCTGGCTTTGGTTCTAGATGTAAATCCAATTGATATTTCTTGAAGAAAAATTATCTGCATCCTTAATTAAGATCAGCAAAATACCTGTTATGCTTTGGAAGCTTCATGTTGAATGCATGTTTAGATTTCTAATTTTTTAATTGTCTACTAATAACTTTTTTTTTTCAGAACCCTGTGATAATATGAGAGAGATTCTCCAAAATGTGGCCAAATTACAAGGCATTTCAAATATGAGAAAACTAGGTCACTTGAATAATTTTACTAAGGTAGGTACTCAAATGGTGTCAGAACAAGTGATCATATGGATAAAATATTTTATATATACTATATCAGATGTACAGGAGATTCATAAAACAGTCTAGTATCATGGAACAGTGCATGGAAATCTATATACTGTCAGAGAGGAAAGGAGCAAATAAGGACAAGCACATATGTGAATGCAAAATTATGCTGAAACTTGTTTGTGTCCCTTACTGGCTGAATTTTTGTAGTGTTGTAGTGTTTAGAAGTCTGAATTATCTTCTAATTCAGGGGTTAAGTTGTACAAATAGAGCTAAAGGATTGGTTCCTATTCCACAAGGCTGAATCAAAAATGTGAAATGACAGACTTTCTGGATGTAAACTGGCAAAGTAGGATGAGGTGGAGGACTATGTCAATGAGCATGATAGGCAGTGGCTTGGGCACTGATAGACTAGAAACTGTCAACTTTCATTGTGGGTTTGATAGTGAAAATGAATTAAAGGGTCATTTTCTAAAAATGGTCTGTATTGCTGATTTTTGAGGTGCTTTTACTAATTGTAAGATTCCAAATCATTGGAATGTGAAAGATACTTGCCTGAAAATTGGATAGATATGTTGGGAGCTGGCAGAAGGCAAGAATTAATAACTTATTGCAGGATAAGAGATGATAGGCTGAGGAAAGAGACCATGAAAGGCCCTTCAGAATGAGAGCAAGTACCATTTTTTGGTAGATGAAGAACTGGTGGAGAGGAGTAGAGAGGACTGATGAGAGGTGAGTAGTGAGTTAGAAAAAGGGTGTTTGTTGTAGCATAGTGAATAGTTGTGAGCTGGACCAGTGTTCCAGCTGGGCAAGGGAAAAGTACATTGCATTAAGTGAGGTAGGATACATAAGAGATTCAGTGTACCTGTTACCTCAACAGATGTACTGATACACAGAAGGAGTTGGTAAATTCTACACCTTTCTAATAGGGTTACAGATAGGGCTACATGCCTGAAGATGAAACACAAGTTTCAGTGACACAGGATGGATTTTGCAATCAGCAATAGCCAGGAAAGAAGGTAGCAGTGGAAACTTTGGTGGGAAAAGTATGGTTTAAATTATTGTTGTTGTACATGAAAATAAAAAATTGAGTAATATGAGCAGGAGGCTGCTTATACACTTCTGAGACAATCTCAAGTGAAAGAAAAAATGCTCAAGGGCAGATTTAGGGGACCAAAATGAGAAGGACATGAGAAGGACAAACACACATCATAATCTTTGAAGTAGGTGTGTGTGGAGAATAGTCAGACTTCTTAGTGTCACTGATAAGCACTGGCCTTGGGCAAAGGGAATTAAGCAGCTTGTTCCTGCTTCTCTCTTATACAACCTTTTTGTGGATGGAGGTCTGTAGGCTTAGTATGAGAGGTTGGTGAAGGCGGGAGTCTTGTCATGGGGGGGACAGCCCTGTTTTGGCAGCAGAACAGAATCTTGAAGGCCATGGTGCCTGGAGTAAAACCTTTTGCTTCATTATGTGTAAAATAAATATTGAAGTTAACACCCCCGAATATGATAATGACCTTAATGAAGTACATGCTAAACACATGACTATAGTACTCAAATCTCCACCCAAATCATGCTAAAAGACACCCAAGGGGGTGGAACAGATAAGGAGGTTAGGATATGAAAGAGTTAGTGTTAGGGGAAAAAAAAAAAGAAAAAAAAAAGAGCGATAGGGGTGGTGGTGGTGGTGGGGAGAAGAAATTGGAGACCTAGAAGAGGCAATCGATGAGCTGTGCTCCTTTCTCCTCCTCCAAGACAGGGACACCCTCTTGGTAAGCTCTGTGTCTTTGCTCTTTGGTGAGGAATATCTAGGAAAGCATTTTAGTGCCAGCGCACTAATATCATTTATTAGCACTATTGCAGTAAGTGTATTTATCAATGGCAATTCTGAATCTGTTATATCTGTCACCTTATTAAATATGTTCAGCTAACCTCCTAATTCTTCCAACCCAACATGAGTTGCACTAGCCAGTGCTTCATTTTGTCCAGTGAGGTTATACAACATCCTTCGGTTCTGGAATGTTGTAACTTAAGGCGTGACAATTTATTCCAGGGTCCATTCAACTACAGTCCCTGTGTTGAGGTATTGCCAATGATCTTTCAATTCCATTTTGGTCCATCTCCATGCAGTTGGTGAAAGAGGTTCTCTCCAGAGGGGGCAAAGTGTTAACAGTCCCAATGCGTGTTGGCATTGCTGACCTTCCTTAGAGGATATGCCTCCTGAATCGGAAATGGTTGGCTTGGTGGAGTTTGGAATAGTAAAGTAATGTTTATATCTTTCTGCAATTTAGATACTTTAATGTTGCCTTCCTTAATAGGCATAATTTCATTGATACTGTCCAGATAGGTATACCATTTACAGACTGTGGGTTTCTGGGCAATTCCTGCAGGTGGTACCATACCCTTGTAAACTATATCTAGGAGATGGAAAGAACCCTAGATAATCACACTCTGTTCTCTCCTTATCTGTTCCACCCACTTTACCACTTGCACTAGAGACAGTAAGCCTTTTTCAAGACCCTAATACCTCGTTACGGTGTCATTGAAGAGTGGGAGCTAAACTTTAGTGGTCTCTCTGGTCCTTCTGGTCCCTTTTGCCAGAGATTACAGTGGGAACCGTGTTCACTGAATCCCCATTCTACACAAATAGGTTTGGTTGTGTGTAAGGAACCTAGCTGTTGAAATAACCTCAGTTCTTTTATTAATAATTCTAACGCATCCTTGTGCTGTTTAGTCCAGTCCCATGATTTCCCTTTTCTAAGAAGATTGTATAAGGGACAGGTAATGATAGAATGTTGCGTTAAGGGGTGTAGCCAATTAACCATTATGGGTCCGGTCGGATTCAGGGTACTGAACTATCACAATCACATATTCACCAATAACGCATTAACCGTTATGGGTCTGGTCGGATTCAGAGCACTGAACTACCACGGTCACGGATTCACCAATAACGTATAACCACCCTTACTCGTCTCGTTCAATGAGAATTATCATGGCTAGAAACAATGCACAATTTATTACAGCAACAGGTACACGGGTTGTTTGGATTGCTGATGATAGTTACTGTCTGCAAAATCAAGCTAGCATGCATGAAATACGCAGGTGCGCAGCCTGGAAATTAATGTGTTAAAAGGCACAAAGACTCTAGAGAGATTTCTAAGTTTCCGTGCTGACACACAGTATAACCAAGTGTTCAAATATCACCCAAAGGCCTCCCAATGGGGGGGGGTGGGGGAAGAGAGGCTCAGCCCATCAACTGATCCCAGGAGTCAGGAGGCCCTCAGGATGGTGTATTCCCTCGGGATGGTATCTCCCCTGACATCCTCTCTCTCTTAGGCCGATTTATATTATTGTCTATCTTTTAGGTGGCGCTTGAGTGACTCTAGTCAATCATTATTACTCTAATAACACAATTACTCTAATTACGTTAATTAGAGTAACATTATTACTCTAATAAACGCAACCTTTCCCAATATATACAAGTACAGTTTCAAGGGTTTTATTAGGATGTATCTCAAAGTGGCAAATATTTTGTTCAGTGTCAAGACAAACGTCTTGGGCTTCGAATGTGTTACTCTCACAGATGAAGCCTTTTTGTTCACTCACAAAATATGCATTGACATCAATTGTTTGTCACTTTCCTCCCTTTTGATGGGTCCATACTTTATGCTTCTTAGGATAAAGTATAGTTCCATTATGATTGAGTCCTAATGCAATGACTGGATATACATTGTATATGGTGGCATTACTTATGGTAAGTATAAAGGAAAGTTGACGAATTGCCACCATGCTTGAAACTCCTTTTCAAATTCTGAAGCATTATCCCAAATCAATTTTCGAATTTCAGTGGGCAAAGTTCCTCCTCCTCCCTCTCTAATGATAGCTGCTGCTACAGATTGTATCCATAACTGTGCTTGGATGCAGCTCAAGGCAAGGGAGGTATTGCCTTGAGTTTTTCCAAGGGCATTTACAAGTAATTGATGATCATTTTCTTCAGTTTGTTTTCAGTGGGGTAAAACGTCTGATAGAAGTCATTGATTTGTTCCTAAGGCCAATAAGGATGATTTTATTGGTCGTTCCGATTTCCTTAGGTCATCTGTAGTAGCAGTTATTTAATATACCTAATCCTGTTCCCAATAACCCAGTTGCATCTACCCTTTTTAGAGACCAGCTAGGGTTAAAGAGAACTTGTTGTTGTCCCACATTTTTAATTATGTAAGGACCAGGGTTGAAGATGGAAGCAGTTAGACCAATGGGAGGCTGAGTTGGTTCATTTTCAAATATCTGCGGGGGCAGAGGCTTCTTTGCAGTCGATGAAGATGTTTCTGTATTGATCATAAATTCAAATAGTAATTCTGTGCCTCTGTAACCCCAAAGACAGTACACAATTATAGGTTTGGTGAAAGTAAAATTGTACCAGCAATCAAAATTTGGTTCAGTTATTTTGGAAACTGTCTTAATTTCAGTAGGCCTATTGTAAGTAGATACATTAGTTATTCGGCAACTGATTTGTATTGTCTGGCCAGACGTGGCTTGAAGTTCAACCATTCTTATCTTAGAGAATGGTTCCAACTCCATTCATCTTTTGAAAATATTTACTCCTATGTAAAATTAAAGTAGAGAGATTTAGATCCTTTTTGTTTTGAGATGTTCCAGTGATTGTGCTATACTGTGACAGTGCATGGTTAGATGTCACAGTGAAACACCTCAGCTCCGTGCACAGCCACAGTAGCTAAGTTTCCTTTTAAGGTCTGTAATTGCATCAAGGTCAGGGTAAAGGATAACATTATTAATCCAAACTGTTGATTCGTCATCCTCCAGCTGCCCATACACAGTTCACTCAGGATTCCTGTGAACACAAAAGAAAAGAAAATATGCTCGGTTGTATTCAACCGACAGGGTTAGAAAGAGGGTGAAATAGCAATCTTTGACTTCCCATGCGTAGAGATAGTTGGGAGTAGTTAGCTCCATTGCTACTGTTAGAT